TCGGCTCTTGGCCCGGGGCTGGCGTGTGGCATGGCGGAGGCATCTGTGCCGAGCTCAGGTAAGGAGGGAAGAGGGGACGAACTGGGCAGGCCGTCGTGGCCGAAGGGCCTGGCGAGGGAGGGGGAAGCCCAGCCCCGGATGGCGAGGCGCCTCGTGTGACTCGACCGACCCGGGGTGGGGGGAGGCCGTCCCGTCCTGTCCCCGCCGGGGAAGTCCACCCCTCTGCCTCGGCTTCACTCGGGGTCCCCTGCCCGCCATCGCCCTTCCACCCAATTTCGCCCTAACTCGAAAAGCTGGTACCGTCCGCGGAGTGGGGAGGGGGAGGGAAGGAAGGAAGGGGGTGACGGTGAGATGTTGTGGAGCGAGTTATTTCCTGGCTTCCTGGGCTGTAAACACGAGGAAGGGAAGGGAAAAACTACTCGTTTTTCACAACGGCGGCGGCGGCGGCACCAACCATTGCGACTGCTGTGCGTATATTTCGTGGATTTGTTCCACACGGACCCCTTCCCTACGACTCATCTACCACATCTGCATATCTTAGGAAGGAGGCTCAAGTGGGCAAAATGCCGGGCGGGACAAGCTGGGGATCAGGAGATCCATCCTAGCGGGCGGGGGTGGGGAGGGGAGGAGGGGAATCTTCCTTCCCCAGCGTGATCTACTGCAGTGGATTTTGCATCAACAGATGTGATGCTCACGCAGAAAGGGGCATCTTGAACCTCCAGGGTGCCAGCTACTGTGCAGCCAGAAAGAGTCAACACCGGGAAGATCCCATAGGGTGGAAATAAACGCATGACAGGTTATCCTGGGATACCCTCAGACGAATCGTTATCCATACTGGCACTGCATTACTGAAGCGTTGCATTATCTTGTCCGTGTTCAGCAGAGATTGCAGTTTGAGTAGGAGAAGACTGTAATCCTGTTGAACGTTTTGTACAAGCACGCTCTTCGGAGAGCCCCTAAAACATCCCCCCCCCCGCCACCGCCTGTTTTGATTGAGAACCACTGTGGTAAGATTGCTTGAAATGAGAAGTATTTAAAAATAGAATTCTATTCTTTCAGTTCTGTCTTCTTATTTGTTCTGTTTAAATGGATTGCATCTTTTAAAATGTCATTTTAAATACAAAGCAGTGACCAAAATCCTGTTACTTCATGTAGTAAATCACCCTAAATAGACCCAATTAATCAATTGAAATTTAGTGAATCAACTCCTCTGCAAGTTCTATTGTTTGAAGTGGCCTACCCTAAATCTGGCTTACTGTACTAAAGTAAGTCTCAACTTAGTAGGCCATTTGAATCAATTGAACTGTAGAGGAATTGTCTCACTCATCAGTGATTCAGTGGGCCTACTCTAGTGTGACTTATTGTGCTATGCAACAGGATTCCAGCCGTTATTCTTTGGGCTTGATTACACATGAGAACTGTCAAATTGTTTTTGATTGGGAAAAACAATTACCTAAGTAAATTAACAGCAAGGAGTGTCTTGAGAATTTGACAGTGGATTGCAACATAGTAAGTAGACAACACTCATAAAATATACTGATACTAAGGTATGTTGGCATTCTCTGCTTCGGAGATACAGCTTTGCAGTGCTTGTGGTTATTGGGCATAATGTTGCATTAATTGGCTGGGATAATGCTAGCACTGTGATCTTAATCTTTTTATCAGGGGATTTTAGTCCAAGATACAATTATGTTGATAAAAGTTGTGCCAGCCTATTGTTCAGTTTCAACCCCCCCCCCAGTAATTTTTTCAAAGCCTAAATGTATAAACTGAAGAAATGACAGTGTTTTCACATTACTTTCCCTGGCTGATATAACTGGGGTTTTCAGAATAGTAAAACACTTGTTTTAGTGTATACATTTCCCTTTTTCCTAGATTTGCTAAATCCAGATGCAGCTGACTTTATTCCAAGGGAAAGGCAGACTTACAGTCTAAACTGGAGCAGTCAGTCCAGACTGGAATTGGATCGAGATTCAAGCAGAAACGTTATACCACCCCCTATTCAACCTAGGCACAGTAAATATGAAAGTTCTTCTGCAGATAGGCATACGTTTTACAGTCCAGAGAGCCAACGCAGATGTCAACCAGATTCATCACTTTTCAGCAGTATGGGTAAAACTAAAGGCCGCAACTTACAGTCTCAACGATGGCAAAGAACAAGGAGTGATAGAACACATGGCAAAAATCAGATAAAGCAAACAGCTGGTGGGACCTCAGAAGGTCCTATATGTTTAGATAGCAGATTGGTTGCAGGACGGAGGATGAATCCTAGAGATTATAGTGACAACTCTTCAGATAGCGAAAAAGAGGCTGCTACTGCAGATAATAGAGGAGCGAAGCCAAAGAAGACATATTTGATGCATTCACGTGGAAGAGGGTTGAAAGAAAAGGAGAAGCATCCACCTGAAAGGGATAAAAGAGTAACCTCTAAATGGAGAGACAAGACTTCCGATAACATGCTAGATCTGACTCAGTCAGACTCTTCTGAAGCTTCTCTTGGAAAAGCAGTGTCTGATGGCTTTTCAGACAATAGCATTGCACGAAGAAGGTACCCTTTTGCAAACAGATATTTTAAGGACCCTTCATGGAATAAAGAGACAGGCAAAAGGCAAGATACATCCAGGAGTAAAAATGCCAAGCATGTTAAGAATGCATCTCTTCCACATCCTCCCAAAGAACGCAGCAGTGAGAAGAAGAAAGAATCTGTGATACACGAAAGAGGTTCAAACTTTGTGACTGTGGCACAGAAACAGCCATTGTGCCAAGCATCTACTCATGATGGCAGAAAGCCTCTGCTTCAAGAAGGATATAAAAACAGGCGCTGGAAAAAGCAAAATGATGCACCAAAGAGTAAGGAAACTCATACAGGTAATTCTCTCTTAATCTGGGTTAGGCCTAACTGCTCAGATAAGTGTAGTTTTGTAAGAGTGTTTTCCTTTGTAGTTAGTTTAATTGTTTTTTAAGTCCCAAAGCTGCTTGTGTGTTGGATGTGTAAGAAAGAAACACTTAAGCAATTTATTCACGAAAGCTTTCACGGCCGGGATCTAATGGTTGGTGTGGGTTTTTCGGGCTCTTTGGCTGTGTTCTGAAGGTTGTTCTTCCTAACGTTTCACCAGTCTCTGTGGCCAGCATCTTCAGAGTGCTGTCCTCTGAAGATGCCGGCCACAGAGAGTGGCAAAACATTAGGAAGAACAACCTTCAGAACACGGCCAAAGAGCCCAAAAAACCCACAACAACCACTTAAGCAATTTTTTTGTTATGGTATATGACTTAAAATTGTAGCAACAGAATATGCACCACTGGGTGAACAAGTGAAACATTGTGTTTTGTTAGATTTTGTTCTAACTTCTTCATGTTGAACAGGGCGTGATCAATAATAGTGATACAAATTGTTTTTCAATTTGTGTATTATTGGTTTTCAAAATGTTTGGAAAAAAAAGAGTGATTGCTTAGAAGCTTATCAGGAGTTCCTCAGTATGAAAGACCAGTCATGTCCAAGAAGCTTCTTTGGAGAACAACTTGCCTCCCATGGTATATTTTCTCCCAGCAATATTATGCTGGCAGGAAGGTTTGGGTTATATGTCACTGTCTACTCTCAATTCATGTGGAGCAGTGGATGAGCCCAACAGGCCTAGTCTTTTTTATTGCAAATTAGAGCAGGTCCCAAAGTTTCTACAGCACTATGGTTTCTGTGGCAGACAAACAAGGTTCCATAGCTGTTGAGGAATGAGTCACAGTAGAATTTATATTTTTAATCACTGCTGAATGTGAAACCATAATAATAAAATATTGTAATAAAAAGTAACTTCCTGAAATGCAGTGTCATGTTGCTTGGGGAAATTGTGCAGTAGCATTGATAACAGCACTGCTGTGTGCAGTCTCTCATCTTTTTTGTACTGCTGAGCAGACTGGTGTTCTGACATTGCCTGCTGTTTGATGGCTGTTGTACCCATGCTGCATATCTGAAGGAGTTCTTGCAGAAGATTAGAACACCTGCTACAATGATGGAAATCAATGGATTTTCTAGATAGAATATGTGAATTGAAATGCCCTGTCCTTGTAAATGACTTGTGGTGTTTCGTTTTGTCAGATGAAATCACACAATCAGGATTGAAGAGGAATACTGGAAGGAGTTTTGATAGTTGGAAGATAGTATGAAGTACAGTAATAGCTAGCTGAGCTTTAATACCATGAGAGTTTATTTTTCTGTGTTGCATGGTGGACATGGAAAACAACTGAGCCATGAAAACAACTGGTGCGCCAGAAGGAAGCAGGTGGGATGAAGCTCACCTGCTTCCACTTATTCTTGTTGACAGTGCTATTTAACCACACAACCCTCTCCTATGATGGAAGACTTGATGCTGCCAGTTTCTGATCCCACTTTAAGGTTCCCATTTCAGCACATTTTTTTCTGAATTCACTTGAGAGGATAGGTAACTTGTTTGAATACTAACATACTATCACTAATAATTAATACTAATTAAGTCTTTGAAATTTAAATAGTGTGTCAGCTTTTCTCAGCTCTTGTTGCATAAATTTACCCTTACACAGAAGCAACAGACCTGCAGTTGAAGAGAGATTGTGTCTCTTTTTGAAATGTCCATGTTTTCCTAGCTAATGAGAGCAAAGGGCAAGGAATTATATCACTGTATCATTAGGTAAAAAGTAAAGGTAAAGGTTCCCCTTGACAATTTTTTTTGTCCAGTCATGTTCGACTCTAGGGGGCGGTGCTCATCCGCGTTTCCACGCCATAGAGCCAACGTTTGTCCGAAGACAATCTTCCGTGGTCACATGGCCAGTGCGACTTAGACACGGAACGCTGTTACCTTCCCACCAAAGTGGTCCCTATTTATCTACTTGCTTTTGCATGCTTTCGAACCGCTAGGTTGGCGGGAGCTGGGACAAGCGACGGGAGCTCACTCCGTCGCGTGGATTCGATCTTATGACTGCTTGGTCTTCTGACCCTGCAGCACAGGCTTCTGCGGTTTAGCCCGCAGCGCCACCACGTCCCTGTGTATCATTAGGTGAAATAAAGGAAATCAACCATGAGTGCTCACTGGAAGGACAGATCGTGAAGCTGAGGCTCCAATACTTTGGCCATCTCATGAGAAGAGAAGACTCCCTGGAAAAGACCCTGATGTTGGGAAAGTGTGAAGGCAAGAGGAGAAGGGGACAACAGAGGACGAGATGGTTGGACAGTGTCATCGAAGCTACCAACATGAATTTGACCAAACTCCGGGAGGCAGTGGAAGACAGGAGGTCGTGGCGTGCTCTGGTCCATGGGGTCACGAAGAGTCGGACATGACTTAACGACTAAACAACAACATCATTAGGTGTTGTAGAGTCATTCTGTGACATCATCTTGTTTGCCCATTTTGGTAAACATTAAGCCTCAGAGCAACTACAGAGGAGAAAAGCCATTCAGTAGTCCTGAAATATGATCTTTTATATGACTGGAATTTCCTTTGAAGCGAATTGCAGGTAATGTCCTCGCTTCTATCAGCAATTCCACATGTTCCCCAGCTACTCCTTGCACTGAAGCAGGTACTCCTTGCACCAAATTCTTCACATCTATGCTTTGTGCACCACCATCATTTCATGCCTAGACTTTAAGCTGCTGATGTGTCAACGTTTCACGTAGATCAGGGTGGATAAAAATCCATGCTTTTTAAAAATTAAATTGATTTAAATCATGATTTAAATAAAAATCATTTTTAAAATTTAAGACATCCAAAAAATCCAAAATATTATTTAAATCATAATTTAAATCAAACCTACCCTGATGTAGATGTTGCCCACATAAGTTGTAAGTATAAATAAAGTTTGACACAGCATATCTGTCCTGTATTTAAGTCTTTGTGAGCTCTAGACACTAAATTCTATAATCAGAATTTATTCATTTTAAAAACAACATAAGCTCTAAAGAAGTTTCTTTGGTGGTTGGGAGAGAAAGAGAGTTTTATTATCTGTACAGAATATACTGTATAGTGGTATGTACATGCAATGTATGCATGTGTTTATATGTGTGCATGTTCATGGTAAGATTAAAAGGTTGAAGAACATATCGTGAAAACGGAGATACCATAGTATCATGCATGCGAGCCAAAGGCTTGAAACCAAAGCTCCATGGTGCAATGAAAATGAGGGCTGGCATGTGGCAGCTGCAGGGCCTTAGCCCTTTTGATCAAGTTACAGCCCTGTGGATGGTGTGAGGCCGGTAGCAGCCACCAGCTTGTGAGACCAGGTCTTCTCAGTGTCAGGTTGCTTGGGAATGCAGCCCAGAGCACTAATAAACTCCATACATGAATTAGCAAAATTAAAGTCAATATAGCACTGATGTGCTTCAGTAACTTTATTCAACAGTATTATGGTTCAGAATTTGTGTTTACTGAACAAGTGAGCAATGTGTTTGTGCACAGGTATAGAAATCTCTTTTTGTCTCTCTTAGGGTCTCTTATAGAGCAGCTTACCTCAGAAAAGTATGAATGTATGGTATGTTGTGAGGTGATCCGTGTGGTGGCCCCAGTGTGGAGCTGTCAGAATTGCTATCATGTATTTCACTTGAGCTGCATTAAGAAGTGGGCAAGATCTCCTGCAGCACAGACTGAAGGTTAGTACATTGCTTGCTAAACATATTGAGAAAATCACAATGCCAAAACTATAGATTCTGTCATCTTCCAGGTACTGTAGTATAAACGTATTGTTTTAATTCCTTTACTAATTTCATGCACGGAAACTTTGTTTGAATTTTATGTAAAACTTATAAAAAGATATTTGTCGTGTTGCAGTACTTAAAGAAATAAATTTAAAAGCCTTTTCTTTGAAAAACAAAAAAAATTGTATTTCCCTCCCCCCTTTTTTGGCAGATGGCAACAGTGGTTGGCGATGTCCTGCTTGTCAAAATGTTTCCTCTCAAGTTCCTAATATTTATACCTGTTTCTGTGGTGAGTATCTTTCACGTTTAGATTAACCTGCTATCACTTCATAAAGATTACAGTGGTGCCTCGCTAGACAGTTACCCCGCATGACAGTTTTTTCGCTAGACATTGGCTTTTTGCGATCGCTATAGCGATTCGCAAAACAGTGGTTCCTATGGAGGAATTTCACTGGACAATGTTTGGTCCCTGCTTCGCAAACTGATTTTCACTAGACAACAATTTTGACGGCTCCCTCCGCGCTCGCAAATAGGTGATTTCGGGACCTAAGCTTCGATTTAAACAGCTGATCGGCGGTTCGCAAAGCGGCTTTCCTATGGCCGATCTTCACTAGACAACAACGATTCTTGCCCATTGGAACGCATTAAACAGGTTTCAATGCATTCCAATGGGGAAATGCTTTTTGCTAGACAATGATTTCGCTAAACAGCGATTTCAGTGGAACGGATTATCATCTAGCGAGGCACCACTGTAATTCTGAAAATCTCATAACTTTAGCACGTGTTCCTTTGGTAGGAAAACTGAATTTTTCCAACTTAGTATTATGAAGCTTCCACTACATTTTTATAATAATATTATTATTAATTCAGTTTCTGAATAGGTAGCTTAATCAGAATTAACTTGATTAATTAATTAAAATAGTTTAATCAGAATTTAATTGGAAAGCAGAAATGTGTGGAGTGATAAATAAGATTAGCATGGTCAGCTTTTGGTAAAAAAAAAGTCTTTTATATTTAACATCTCTAAAGTTAAGATTCATTATGATCCATGTATATTCCCAGTATGTTGTTGTGGAAATCTGGAAAAACTCACAAAAACTCAAAGAGCAATGGAAAAACAGATGCTAAATATCAGACGAATAGATACAGTTAAGAAATTAAGTTATTCAACAAAGAGACAAAAGTGATAGGTGTAAAAGAACAAATAGCATCATTAAAATGAAGACGGACCGACCACAACCTGCAACAAGTATATGCGCCCTGGAATAAAGGAATACATTCCTCAGGCATGACCTTGGATTTGAAAAGGAATATAGCAAGACCACAGATGAGATGGATGCATGGTTTTAAAAGATTAACAAGGATGGCATGGATTACAGTAGTGCAAAATGGAAATTTCTGGAAGCAAAGGGGAAGGCCTGTGTCAAACATTGAATGTCAAGAGGCTAACGAAGACATTCTTGATTGTTCACTTTCTGTTTATCAGAAGTAATAATCATCAGATGTACATATTGTATTCTTATTTCTATTTTGCTTTAAATGTGGTTCAAGCAGATCATATATCTCCATCACACAACCGTTTTCAAGCTATAATTGATACTGGTAATTACAGTCAGCAGTTCTTTGGAAAACAGTTTGCTTAGGCATATAGACAGGACTTGAAAAATCTACTTGTCCATTCCTCTGTGACGAGTGAAAAAATGCTGCTTGACGAGCCACAGCTCCCTCCCTCCCTCTCTCCCTTCTTGCCTCCTTACCCTCAGTCCGTCTCTCTCTCTCTCTCTCACGCACACACACACATCTTCATCCTGTAGTCCTCCCTTCCCATTGCAAAAGGAAAAACAGCCCTCTTCTCGTGAGAAGAGAGTTCGAGTGGCACATAGATACATAGCTCTGCAGGAGAATGTAGAATAGTCCCATGCTGGAGAATATGGAGATTTCCTGCTCCCGATTTCAACCGAACGACCTGGCTCCTTAAGAGGCCAGACGCTTTTGCTTTCAATTTTATTTTTGGTGGAAACATTTAAAAGCATTCAAAATGAGCAGGCACGCAGATAATAAAGCAACCCAAGTCTGAGGGTATACAGTATTTATTTTGGGTTTGTACACATTGTTATGTAGAAAGTGCCTAGTTAAAATTTAAATTTTAAGTTTAAACATAAATTGCAAGGCTATAGTCCGGTCATGCTTCCAGTGAAATTTTTGACTGACTGGTGAGACATTCTAAAAATTTTCAAGCCCTTTGTATAGACCTTGATCTGAAGGTAGATTGTGCCTTGAAAAAATTATGTACAGTATTAGGGGGCTCTCCTTAAAAATATGGGATATGACTGAGGATATGGGACATGGAAGAGGACAAATAACTGCCCTAAACTGTGGATTTTTGCCTGATTTATGGTGACACCCTTTCCCCAGTAGCTATGCAAACTCCATTGCACTTTGTTCAGGAATGTGTCTCAACATTCTTATGCAAACTGTTTTTAGTTAGCTTGATTTATGATCCAAACCAGACTGTTCGTTTATAAACAAACCTGATACTAAGCTTCTTTGCTTTTCTTCACTGTTCTTCAGTGAGGACAACTGCAATAGGTGGAATTTATTCAGTGGGATTTGTCCAGCATGTTGCCTATCCTGGGACTGGCCACACTGAAGAGGGGCAGAAACACCTATCCAGATAATGTAATTGTGTACATATACATGCATGCTCATGGAGAGGCATTTAATCAAAACAGATCTATTTTGTTTGTCTTGATAAGGATATATATGAAATATACTGTTTGATATGGCATGGATCTGACATCTTGTCTACTGCTGCATAATTTGCTGTCACTATGGAAACATTCAGCTCCATCTTCTACAGCTTGCTTGGATTGAGTGACATATGTTCAATAGTTATAATAGAACATTAGCCATTGTGAGTGTAACTGTTTTGAGTTCTTAAATAGCTGAGAGATGTGCTGAAATATCATGTAGTAGGGAGGAATATGGGGGAGAAGTTGTAGGCAGACTGGTAAGAACCATGGAGATCTTGAGTTATATTTCCAGATGGATATCATTACTTAATGGCACCACATGTAGACAAGGTAGTCCTGGACTATAGAGGTCTATAAGAAGAAAATAGTGATATGAATTATGTGTGCTGCAAAAATTTTAATTGGGCATTTGGCTGTCCTGCTTGTACAAGTCATATTAGTCTTTTGTAAAGTGTTAAAGAATTGGCGTAAAATTTCCTACATCATTAAGAATTAAAAATTTGAAATGTTTGCATTTTAAATACTGTATAACCTCATATCTGATTTCTTTCCTCTTGGAGCAGAAGCATAAACCTTTTTGGTGTTGGATTCCTTCTCTAGGTAGGGTGAAAAATCCTGAATGGAATAGAAATGAAATTCCACACAGTTGTGGAGAACTCTGTAGAAAGCGAAGATCAGCTCAAGACTGTCCGCACTTGTGTAACATGTAAGTGTATTTTTGAAATGTTCAGTGAACTAGATGAGATGGCCAGAATTCTTGAAAAATATTCTGGTTAATTCTCCTTTTCTTAAGTGTTAGGAGTTGCGTAGTTTTATCAGCGGCCCATTTAGCCATAGATATGTTTAATGAGAGCATGAGCAGAACTCTGGGTGGTGCAGATGCTGGTGATGAGGACAATTAGGTATAAGCAGCTACTGTACAGGCTCATATGTCCCCCAATTTCTCTCAGCCCATCTCTTTTGCAGTGAGAAATAACACCTCCCCCCTTATCTGTTAATTTTTATCATTGGGAAGCATTACATGAACACTGACGTTATCTGGAGTTGGAGATGATTGGAACACCAGAGGTGATTCACACTCCTGAATGAAGAGTGAGGCAGCGTTTGTGCCATTCATTTATACATCTACCAGCCGCCTTTGTTTTGTGAGGCATGGCAGGGTAGGTGGGAGGGTGCAAATATGTCTGAAATAGCATATGGCATTTTAAGAATTGGAGGTTTCATTTTGGAGAAAAAGACTCAGCTGTGAAAATAGGCATGCTGTGTGGGGAAGCATCAGGCTGAAACAGGCAAGCTTTCCAGTCATACCAGGCAGAGAGGTTTCAGTGCCTTGATCAATTTTGTATATATCTCATAGTGACTATTATCCTGCTGCTACTGCCTATTTACCCTTGGAATATCCACTTGTCATCAGAATTCATTTTAGGAAGTAAACATGTACAGATTTTCGTGATTATTGTTCACAATTTTCTTTGCAAGGTTGAAATTGTTTATTTCTTCCATATGTATGTAATGCTGTTGGCTATAAAGCATTTCATGCTGGAAGTACTTAAGTACTACAATTATTAAATCTTGTTACATAAATTAAAATTCTAACCATACATTAATAACAATAGGTGAAAATATTTACTAGCTGTGGTAAATAAGATTAAGATGAAAATTTACAAAGCTGAAATTAAGTTACACATTTCTTGTTTTTAAGTCTCTGTCATCCAGGACCTTGCCCATCATGCCCTGCTTTCATGACCAAAAAATGTGAATGTGGACGCACAAGGTGAGATAATTTTTAGATAGTTTTTCACAAAATAATTTAGAATTATTTTTTTCCTGATGTCAGTAAAGAGATTAAAACAATATTTTGCAATATTTTGCCAGTATTCTTTGATAATTGGCAGGCTGTTTCTCACAATCTCAGTCTCCAATGCTATATGCCACCTATATATTGTGTAAATCTTTGTATGGGGTTCCATCCAATCCACTCCTCTCAATTTCAGCCACTGCTTTTAATGACAGTGAGTCTGTTATGAAACTAGAAATCCTGAAACATTGCAGTTAGGGATTAAAAATTAAGCTAGTTAAGGAGGAATGCACGGCAGCAATTTGAATATTTTATGAATTGTTGTCTTCAAGCGAAAGTATTCTGTATGTTTTTTCTCTATTAGCTGATGGAAATGGGAATGAAATTCACAGAGGCTCTGTAGCTAAACCTGCATGAGAAGTAGATACCACACTCCCTGCTTTAATTGCCTAGCAGTTGCTTGCTGCCTCCATGATTGTACCACAAATAACTCTTCCTGTTATGACTAATTGTGCCCTGTTGTGTGGGAGATTCCTGGCATTAAGACGTTCCAGACAATTCATGATTTGTGGGCAGGTTTGATATAACCGACAAGGTGCAGCATAATTTATGGATGAACCTCAACTTTTATTTTTCATACCTCTACTCATGTGGAAAATGAAGATGTCAAAAAGGCCTTTCTCTCTCTCTTGACCTATTATTTTAAAGGTGTTTTTATCTTAGGTTGACCCTGGAAGGAAATCTTGTCATTTTATTAAAACTAAGAAAAATAGTGAAAGGTAAATATTTTAGGAACATTAGGCTCAGGTTTTCAGCTTTAAGTTGCTTTTTGTGTGTGGTAGTATGATTATAATGCAGAGTTTTAGATTAGATTGTGCTTTTGAAATTGCCACCTACCTGTCATCTATTCTTTCTCTTAGTTGTACTTTCTTTTGTTGCTATTATTATAGAATGTGTGTGCACAGACCCTGAAATCTACATTATTCTTTCACACGTGTATTATGTAAAAATGGACATGCAGGGGTTTTGTATGAAAGGGTATATTTGAGTTCTAAATCACAAAGTATAAAGCAGAGCATTGCAGGTTGGAGTTAATTGTGTTACACTGCAGCTCTGATCTTGGTTTAGGAAAAGCCATGTTTTACATTGATGTTTAATCCCGGTGGGTCAGACAAATACAAGAAGAAGCAGAATTGGTACCTAGTTTCTATATTGTTTTCTTAACACTGCGGTCCTTATTTTATCCTCAGATTAAACATAAGCTGCACATTCTAGAAATAGAAAGTGTTCCTTCTGTCATTGTAGTAGTATAGCAAAAGCAGTATTGTGCCCCTTAAAGACTAATAGAGTTGTTTCAAAGTGTACTTGTTTGTTTTAAAATATAAATATCTATATGCCGCCTTTCTCCTGGAGGATCCAAGGAGGCTTACATTTATTAAGATCCATTTTCTCAGACTTGTGTCTGAGGAATTTATTAGGGAGCAAATGAGCAAAATATGGGGGGCACACATTTATTTGTTTGGTTGTCTTACTGTAACGTATGAAAGGGCTACTTACCTTTTCTAATGAATATGAAGATTCAGGGCATGGCACATGTGGTTATAGTGTTTGGTACAGATAACAAAATTTATTGGGTAGCTTTGAATCAACTATAGCAGTGGTTCCTACTCTTGTGTAACTCAGGTGTTCTTGGACTGCAACTCCCCGAAGCCGCCACCACTAGCTGTGCTGGCTGGAGTTTCTGGGAGTTGCAGTCCAAGAATCCCAAGGTTGGGAACCACTGTATCAGAGAGTAAAGCTGGTTATTTCAGATTTGTAAGAAGCATATTTATTGCATAGATTTCTTAATCTCAGATGGTACCAGGAAAGGAGGAATTCACAAGTTTTGCATTATATCCTATCTTCCAGGAAATATAGCACTGAATTTCCAATTTTATCACATCAGGTTTACAAACACACTTCTGAGATCATGCTGGATTTCTCATAGTACTAACAAGGATGTTACTTTGCCTCCTGTTTGCTCATGTGCTAGAATGTTGGCTGGAGTAACCAAATAGAAAGGGGTTTTATTTCATGTTTTGTTTTGTTTTAATCTTGGATAGCATTTGTCTGAATGAGTTCTCAGATGACTTTATTCACAGGCATTATAAACTCAGACTAATTGTAATACAGTTGTATCTGAGAAAGGTGTCTAAGTATTTTTCTAAACAAAATGACTGCTAGTTCAAAGTTATATTTTGGTATAACCTGCTGTGTGCTTCTACAACTGTGTAATTATAAAGAATGCTTTTTCATTTTCAAACAGTGCAAAAGTATATGTTTTAACACACACCAACTCTGCTCTGCCAGAAGCATTTTTCCTGTTTGAATACAGATCCCTGTGGTTTGCTGTTACGAAATTACGTTCTCTTTAGTTTAGCAAACTCCTCAACGGAGTGCATATCAAAGCCTCAGAGGAGTTCCTTGCCTGTTAATATTAACAGACCCTTCTCTAAATTTATGCAGTAACATTCAGAGATAATGGGCAATGATAAATATCACTACAATTTCCTGATCTGCATGCTATTCCTGGTGACTGATTTAGTTTTCTTTTACAGCCATTCTGTTCGCTGTGGGCATTCTGCTGCAATTCAGTGTACTAATATATGTGGGAATGTTTTGAATTGTGGTAAACATAATTGTACCCAGATATGCCATTCGGGAAAATGCCAGCCATGTGAACTGACTGTACAGCAAGGTAAGAGATGAATGGAAACTTTCCTAGTTTTTTTTAATAGCACACTTATTCTTTTTTCATGTACAAGATTTGCAGACTGTTTTTTAAATAACTCATACAATCTAATAAATTCAGTTATGGAAGAGCAACCAAAATCTCAACAACAACAACAACTATTGTTGTTGTCGGTGACCAGGAAGATAAATATATACAAAGAGAACAAAGAGCAACTGGCTCTTCTGATTCTTTCAATTAAATGGTAAAATGACATATAGGATCTGTCTACCTGATATAAATCCACTTGGTCAAGATGTCTGATATATATCCAGTTGTGAAGGAGAGGCTTAGGCATCTCTCATGTTGGAAAAAGAGAATGCTGATTCACGTGGCCTCTGGAGCACGCCACCTCTGAAGCAATTTCAATTTTAAAAACATTACCATTTGAAAGGTTTTTAAAAATGTTTGACCAAAAAAGTAATACATTTAATGTAATTTCCGATGTATTTTTTTAAACCTCTGGACAGTATTTGCACTTGGCCAATTCTGACTAGCATTTTACCATTTGTGTAACTCCATTGTGATGAGAATACACTACTATATTATGGTTAACTACTGTACTTCAACATTTACGTTCAGCTCTTTGATATAGTTAACATTCTTTTTAAAACTGATACTGTACAAGCATTGTTGTTCCAGAAAGTATTATTCTTTCCAGAAAATGCGCATTCCCCCAATGCTTTTTTGTTATAACCCTTTCCACTTGTGTCCCCAACCCACAATTCTGTTTCCCTATATAGTGTGCTATTGTGGAAGCACGTCTCGAGAAGTGTTGTGTGGAACAAGTGAAGAGCATTTCTCTTGTCTGAGAACTTGTGGCAAGTAAGGGACTTGTTCTGCTTATGGTGTGACTGTAATGTTGTCAATACTTATGAATTCATCTAGCCTTACTAGTAACAAATTATGTTTTTAATTTCAGAAAATTATCCTGTGGAATGCACACCTGTGCTCAAGTATGCCATCCCCAGTCATGCCAACCCTGCCCACGGCTTCCACAAGTAGTGCATTGTTGCCCTTGTGGACAAACGCCTCTCAGTAAATTATTAGAGCTGGGGTGTAGAGAGCGTCAACTTTGCACAGATCCTATCCCATCATGTGGAAGAACATGTGGGAAACCTCTGCCTTGTAGTAGCTATGGTAATTGCAGTATTAGTTTACATCTTTAAAATGCCTTTGTGTTTGAATTTCTTCTTCCCCAGGTAATGAAATTTCTGTTGAAATGATACCTTAAGCTTTGCAGTATTTTCTCACATCTGTATAGCCACTAGGCCCTAGGATAAACCATGAAAGCATTTTGGTTAAACAGTAGTATTCCCAATGAGATGAAATCATATGTAGCCAATACATTGAACATTATTAACCCACTGTGATGTGATGTAATGGATATAGAATCATATATGGACTGGGATCTGTTGTCAAATCCCAAAGGTTGTTGATCAGACAGTCTCTGTGACTTAACAGTCATGAATGATCAGCCACCCTGAGTAGTGGCTTGTCCCCTAAATGGGTGGGATATAAATTTAAACAAACAAATAAATAAATATCTGTTACCCACCTCTACATTTTATAGATGTTTCAAAAGGGGATTTGAAAGTAGTGGGGTTTTGTTGTTGTTTGCTAGCAATGCTGTTGTCTCAGATATGAAATATGTAATTTTGATTAGAAAGTATATTGCTGTAGTTTTTTTTCAAACTTCAGTTAAAGATAATCTCTTCCTTATGTGTAGATGCTGTTCATACATGTGAAAACCTCTGCCATGAGGGAGAATGTGGGCAGTGTTCCCGCACATCAAAGATTTATTGTAGATGTGCCTTAAAAGCAAAGGTAATTTTTGAAAATAATGAGGAACAGACTTTCAAAAATGAGAAGGAACAGTAAAATTGTCTGACACACTGAATTACGGGAATATGAGTATGTGGCCCTCCAGATGTTGCTGGAGTGCATTTCATACACCATCAGGCCCTGGGGTGAGGGGATCAGGATGTAACATCTGGAGGGTTACTTGTTTCACCACTTGTGGACTGTTATATTGCTTTTAAAATATGTGTGATATTTTCAATCTCACTTTGCAAAACAGTCTCAATTTACCACCCCCAACGCCATATGAGGTGTGTCTTCTACTATAACCTTTTGCAACCTTTATTGAATTTGTTGTTCCTTATGATAATCTTGCATATTTTCTTCACAGTCTGCATAATATATTTTGAAATGTTTGCATTGATAATATTTAGCAGCTGATCATTTGCCATTTTGCACTTGGTCATGGCTAAGAATATTAGTTATTTCAACTTGTGCATTAGGCTTGAATCAGTGAAGAGCGAACCTAGTTTCAAATTATGCAATTTAAATTATCATGAAGTACAAACTTTCAAATACTATTTTAAAAAATATTTTAATACTTTGATGTATATTCTCATACATTCCATAACTAATTTGGCTTTGGGTGTCACTTTGTGGATTTCTGGTTATACGTCCAAGTGATCCATTAAAATAGATACCATTACATATTGGAGAATCCTGCAGTAGTCTGTAATATTACTTTCAATGTTACAGCTTCTGAATGACAGAGAATATCTTCTGTGTCTTTATTTTCTTCTTTGAAAACTGCCCCATGGGACTCTGGATCGTACAATGCAAGCTCTTGCTGATCTATTCAGTTCTTGGTTCAGATATTTCTAGGCATGTCTTGAGCTCTTCTGTATTTTGGAAGTTCCAAAGACAAGTGTAGTCAGTGTGTTGATTGTGAAACACATGCTACTCTCTTGCATTGCTTTTGTCCCAAAAAGTTACTTTTTGTGTACTT